GTCTTGGTCTTATGTGCTCTCTGCAACACAAAAGATTAAATATAATTTACACTTAAGTACACAGTAAGCACAAGGATACGCACACACACATAAATAAGCCGATGGCATGTTTGATGTTCAGATACAAGAGTATTTGCTTGTATGAGTATCTTCCGCACAGCTACACAAACACATAAGCTCAACAGGACTAAATAGAGTTTAGCAGGAAAGCATGCGGCATACGGCAGACGGCATGGAACTGAACTCACCTTTTGGCCTAATAAGTGAATAATGTTGCCAAACAAATTTCGTACATGTTTTCATAATGAATGCATTTGTCTTGTCCACACACATACAAAGCGCCCAGCCCAGTACGGTCAGTTCGGCCGTACATTAGTTAAATATCCTTAGGCTCCTACGCAGAGGTTGATCTGCTTGTTGGCTGATGACGAGGCATGGATTGTTAGGATGAATGCTCTAAGACGTGTGGCGTTTGCACTGTCATTATGAAATTCATTTCTAATTACGTTCATGTCATATTGTTTGGAAATTGTGATAGATTCTTATGGTTAAATCAAAATAAACTAGATTTCAATAATAAATCAAAGAGCATATGTGACATTATTGCTTGCCTTTGCGTCACCAATAATTGCTCTGCAAATACTCATAAATTTTGTTATTAATTCTTTTTATATTTCAATTTATTTCATGTTTCATGTTTTTCAAATAATTCATTTATTTTTCATATCCCTTGGCTGACACAAACAAACGCTTAAACATATTTTTTGATAGCACGACACAACATCAATTAGGCACAATGGCTCAAGGAAACATTTCAACAGATCCTTGTCTCAGCATGTATCGAATATCTTACGAGTATCATTTATGTAAATAAATACATAAGTTGTTTAATTAATAATTTACAAATTTTTGTACAATTTTGTTAGTTTCTTCTGCAAAATTGTAGAACGATTTTTCTTTAAAAAAATGAGAATATTCCCTAATTTATCTGTGTTATATTTGACATATTAGTCAGCAATGACATATTCTGATAAATTAATGAATTTTGAGATATAGTAATGAGCAGAACAATTTTAAATGTTGATTTCATTAGCACACTCAATTTCATTAATAATAATTAGTATTTCATAATAAGTATAATTATTAAATATTATTTAATGAATGAATTATATGATACGAGTATTTCATTAATAGCATATATCACTTCAACTCTAAAACAAAACTTCCATCGCCTTTTTTGATTTGAATAAATTCACTTCTTCCAAAGCATTCTATTAATATTGTTATCGAATGGTGAAAAATCATTCTTAAGGTAACGCCAAGATTTATTTCTATATTCAGCACATTATTACCATCCTAAGAGACGCCTAAGAGAGTCTATGAACTCACAAGTTATTTCAGCAATCTGCAACTCATCGGAGACATTTGACAAATATAGCCGTTTCTTCAATTTAATTGATAGCAATTCCCAGATAATTCTGGTTCCAGGTCCCACTAATGAAAATACAGCAGAAAACGACCTGAATTTGGGAGACTCTGTGTCTTCTCACACAGAGGATTGGTATCACGATTACAGAATTGAGTCAATCCCTCACACGCTAGCATAGTTAAATGGTATTCATGGGACTCAATTTTAAGACTTTCGACGAATGTAGGCGTTTCATTAATATAATTAACAGTAGTTCCAAGGTAACTCCAGTTTGAGGTCCAAGAATGAAAATATAGCAAAATTGTACACATTATTGCGAGTCATTGTGTCTCTTTGGTAAAATCTTCCACATTAATCTCTCATGTTGGTAGTCATAAACTAACATTTACTTATGACCCCTTTTTGCGAAATCAAAACAAACAGGTTTCATATGTTTTCAGCAGACATTTTTAAACCAAATTAGGCTACATACTTTAAATCTTGAATCTCTGACTTAATCCTCATTAGTAAGTTGAATGTATCTAAAATAATATATTTTCTCACGAAATAAAAGCCTTTAAGATGTCTGGGTTTACTCCCTTGAAACTCCTGTAGGTCGTATTTGCTTGTGCTGAATGAAGCAAGAGCAGAACATCAGTTGTGCCACTGTACGGACTTAATATAAGCCACGCTTAAGCTTATGGAAGTTCAAAACTTTATACTTAAATACTTTCAATAATTCATTTAAAATATATCTTACTTTAAATTAACCAAATACTAACCTTTATCAATGTATTCGATTTGTTCGAACTCGCTCAACCCTCTACCCAAAAATTAGAAGAATATACGTCTTCCTTAGCTGAGAAAATGAATATCCATAAAGAATGTTATTCCACTGAAATGATCATATAGATTCGCTTTTTATGTAGTACGATATTTTAATGGAATGCAGGTTTCTTATTTTAAAAATTCTTTGAACTGTATTAAAATATATTTTCAATTATATTAAAAGTTGTATTTTATTAATATAACATCTTTAGCCGAAGGGATGATAAATCCTATTTAACGTATTAAATCAATCATAAATTTCAACTTAGACAAACAATATTTAGATTTACAAATAAATATACATATTCCATTAAAGAAATAAAGTGGTATAAACGAGCACAAAAATGCAATTGAACTACACTAAATATTGCAAGAATTTTTTCATATAATTTTATTTAACTTTAACAATTTGTTGTATATTTTAATATATAATATATTTTAATATTCAGATAAACTCATGACATGCTATACAAACAGTATCGGACTGTACCTAGAATCCGACTATGTCCATATGTTCGTTCCGACTAGACGCCTATTGCTGTCAACCTAACAACGTTATTACAAATATTTGTAATATGTGAAGAAATATTTTGATGTGAAGATCAATAGGTAGCAGGTTTAACATCACGTTTCATCGTGTTACAAATATAATTTAATTTTGTTTTTAATAATTTAATATAATTTGTCTTTGCAATTGAACTATCGAGTGCTTTACAATCGCACAAAGCCATCGTTCAACAAAAATCTTTGACAAACAACTCAACAAATGTGATCGATCAAGCACTTTATTTACCTGAAAGGGCCTATATTATTTTTCTTTTCTCGAAGGTAAAATTACCCTATTCGATCCATTTACAGCATAAAACAGAATTTTCTAAAGTAAGAAAAGATTATATCTCAATCTGCTTTCAACACACACATACAGAATTGGATCAATCCTACATTTGGCATTTGATAAGAACTCATTTTATGGGGACAAAATAAATGTTGATGAATTGATGATTTTTTAAGTTCTATTTGTAATTTTGAGTGTAGTTTTATTTACATTTTTGAATATAAAGAGTATAAAGGCGAACAGAATCAATAGTTTGTAACTTGCTTTAAAACCAGCGCCGTCTATCTAACACCTCTGTTGTTCTTTGAATCTCAGCATCTAATCCACATTAAATGGAAGTAGATAAATTCAGTCATTATATCCACATCTGAAACTCAAAATTTTAACCATAGCTACCATGATACTCCCATTAAAGAGGTTAACCTCTATTGACCAGGACAGCCGAAGCTGTGGGGCCTTATCTCCGTGGTATCAGATTTGCACCTCCGGTGATTTATTTTGAAAAAATAATTTATGAAATTTTATTTTCAACAATTAAATTTCTATTTTTTCGAGTTGCACAAACCCAGGCTCTGAGAAGACTTTTCAAAGTACCATGGTACATTAGGAGGAATGACATTCTCAGGGACCTCAAGATTGATCCCATCAAAAAATATATAAATGCCTGAAATTATTTGCGAAAACTGACAGACTTACCAACACCGCGTTATCAAATCTCAGAATGGTTACAGGCTCCTCGGGAAGGTATGCAGATCTGAGGTCAATTATTGCTTAGTCTGATGAAGTGATAAACAATAATTCAGTCAAGGCGTAAAGGGGGGTTTTAAAAATACCTCGAGTTAAGAAAGAGTAAAAGTGCTCAAGTGCACTGGCTCAAATAGAAATAAATAAATAAATTATAGGTGCTATTGTTGTTATGCAACAACATATTAATATTTAATATATTTGTTTAAATTAGATTTAAATAAATAAATATTAATTTATTTGAATTGGAATAGTTTTAGACCCATTTTTTATTATTAAGACTGTGTTTCTGTGATTTTTAACACTTCTGTGGATCTGTATAAACTTCAGACTTAATAGTTGTTTATTCAGATTCGGATTCACAGGAACCTTTACGAAATACTTAATTTAATCATTATTCAAATATTTGCGTAATTTTTTCATATTAAGGACAATTGTCTACAATATTGTAAGTTATTTGATAAGATCTTTTAATTATTGAACACGTGCTTAATGCGCGTTAATAATGCTTGTGTATTTGTAATTTATTATTGTAAGATAAGTCAATAATCAATTGATTCAATTAACACATTTGAAATTTGTTTATTTCTATTGCAAATTGGATGCACGTCCGACTGCTTTGTTTGCTTATTTGATGCTTACCGCACACTATTACCGCTGCTGCTGCTCCTGCTGCTACCGCTGCTACCGTTTGCTGCTGCCTGTGCTCGCTCAATTCAATGTAATGGCACGCATCAATTACAGGTTTCCGATACAGTTGTGGAGCCTTATAATGCCACCTTATCCATACATCAGCTCGTCGAGAATACCGATGAAACATTTTGCATTGACAACGAAGCACTCTACGATATCTGCTTCCGTACATTGAAACTTTCGTCACCCACATATGGAGATTTAAATCATCTCGTATCCGTAAGTTTACCATAACACAAAACTAATGTATTTTCTTTCCTTCTCCTTTCCTGGCAAAATCATGATACACCCGTACGACACACATCCTGCCCGCATCGAATCAACAAACAACAAATATACGTCGTATATATACGCACACACACTCACACGTTTATTGTTGTATTGCCGTTGCATTTGCTGTTGTTATGCCAACGGACCAACGTGTGCGGAAATGCACACGCACAACTGCACATTGGCAGATGTGCACATATTTGCACTTATTTGCACAAGCAGGTGTCCGAAGTCGTTGTGGAGCCATACAATGCAACATTGTCGGCACATCAATTGTGCGAAAACACCGATGAAACATTTTGCATCGATAATGAGGCATTATACGATATTTGCTATCAGAAGCTGCGTCTGCCCACGCCAACATATGAAGACTTGAATCATTTGTTGTCCGTAAGTAGCAAATAAGATTGAATTTTCTGAATTCAACCATTCCAGCAACCGCCAAACGCTATAGCTTCTAAATGTCTTCAGCAAATCAGCAAATCAACAAATGCAACTATCAATGCAAAAAAATTTAATTCATTAACAAATTACTCACAAAATGTGTGTCTGTGTGTGTGTATGTAAGTGTGATGAAAAAAAATATTTAAAAAAATATTTACTAATTATCCATATAATTATTAGAAACTAAATTTATTTAAATTTTTTTTCGAAACCTTCTCGATGTAGTGTAGAAACTAGTCAAATATTTGAAAAGGACTTAAAAATATTTTAAACTTAATTTAGAAAACGATTCTGAATTTTATTAATACTATATGTATAGAATTATATTACATAAATAAGTCAAATTATATACAACAAGATTATATATATATATATATAAATGAAAAGGACTTAAAACTACTTAATTAAGGGAATGACTCTAAATGGTATTATATATAGAATTATATAATTAAGTCCAATTATATATAATTGGAATTATATAAATTATAATAGTTATTACGTATTTATAGAGTCTTTTTAAAGGTTTACTAGAGTTTTTTTAAAGGTGCCTACGTCAGTGTAAGGATATCTATTGCATAGACATTATCCTTTAAAAATTAGTAATTGACATTTAAATAATAATTAATATTCTATACTAAAAACATATTAAGAAATTTAATAAAATATATATTTATTAAATTAATTTAATAATATTAAAAATAAATTGAAATATATATTTAATCAATTAATTTAAAAATATTAAAATTAAACAAACAAATTTAATGAATTGATACATATATTTATTTAATTAATATAATAATATTAAAAATAAATGAACAAATTTAATAAATTGAAATATATATTTATTAAATTAATTTAAAAATATTAAAAATAAATTAGTAATTAGTAATTGATATTTAAATAATAATTCATATTCTATACTAAAAATATATTAAGAAATTTAATAAATTGAAATATATATTTATTAAATTAATTTTATAATATTAAAAATAAATTGAAATATATATTTAATCAATTAATTTAGAAATATTAAAATTAAAGTAACAAATTTAATGAATTGATACATATATTTATTAAATTAATATAATAATATTAAAAGTAAATGAACAAATTTAATAAATTGAAATATATATTTATTAAATTAATTTAAAAATATTAAAAATAAATGAAAAAATTTAATAAATTAAAATATATATTTAATAAACTAATTTAAAAATATTAAAAATAAATAAAAAAATTTAATAAATTTAAATATATATTTAATCAACTTTCTTATTATTAAAAATAAATTAACAAATTTTATAAATTAAAATATATATCCTCCTTTTTCAAATATTTATAACTAAAGTTGATTTTAATATTAAATAAAAATAAATTCAGCAGCCCTTGTACTAAAGCGATCAATACAGAAAAAGTACATGTCATTACCCATAGATCACTTTGGTTTTATAATGTTGAATTTTCTGTAAAAATTAGGGTACACAGATATAGTAGTTATAGAAGAAGTAACATGACAATTTTAAATTTATAACAATTAAATATTAATCCAAATTGTTTTTGTATCAGGTTTTTTTCAATCTTCTCATTTAATCCTGAATTATGGACATAGGACCGTTCTTTCTTTGATTGCTTAATTTGCTCTTGTCTTCAAATAACCCAACTATATGACAAATTAATTTATGGATTCGTATATGCAATCTCAAATTTAAACATATTTATTTATAAATAATATTTTATATAAATAAATAATTATTTATAAATAATATTAGGGAAATATTATTTATTATTTATTAATTTTGTTAATAATTTGATAATTTATAAAGTATTTTAAATTATTATATTGTATTGAGCTAATTTGTCAATTATGTTCAACTGCTGTTACAGAAACCACTTGAATTATTTGACATTAATTTTAATTTTATTAAATATTTCGACTTTAATTTAAAATTGTTTCCAAAAAACTGTATATATCAGTGCTTTAAATAATAGCATTTTCCAAGTACCTATTTAAGGTCTTAATATCAGAAAAAAAACTCTATCTAATGTTTTAAGTACTAGGAAATCCATTTTGTTTTCTTGAAAGAATATTTTAGAATTACAATATAAACTATAAAAATTATGTATAGAATTAACAAAATATAATAACAATATAATTACGTTACTAAAATTATATTAAATAAAAAATTATTATATTGTAAAATTTTAATTTTAATTATACTTAAAAAATATATTTAAAAAAAAATAATTAAAAGAATAATATAGTATTATTTATAATATTTAATTATTTAAATAATTTTTGATTTAATATTTCATATTAATATTTAATAATACTATTGTATTATTTATTATATTTAATTATTTAAATATTATATTATATTAGTATTTATCTCATCTTTACTAGCTTTAGCTAGATGAAATCATTTTTGTTTATTTTCGGGTAGCGGAAATTTGATTTTACAAAAAAATGAAATTAAAAAAAATAAATTACCCACAACTCCAAATAGTACAAAATTTTCAATTAACATAAAATGTATTTAGTATATATATTGAAAAATAACATTTTAAAGAAAACATATGTATATTAATTTTTTTATATCAATCCCCCAAACACATACTTAACAATGCTTAACTTAACTGAAAGCTTGCGGTACCACGTGTCGTATGAGTTACTTTTACATTTTGCTTATGATAACTAAAAATTTCATATATCCAATAACCCTTTTCACATTTTAGCAACTGCCTAAACTTCAAATATTTTTAAAATATAATAAACTTTTACTTTTACGTTTATTATTTATTACACAATTTTTATTCAATATTATTAATCATATGAATTTCGAAGGTAACAATGTCAGGAGTTACCACTTGCTTACGTTTCCCTGGTCAATTGAATGCTGATTTGCGTAAATTAGCTGTCAATATGGTTCCTTTCCCACGTTTGCACTTCTTCATGCCTGGATTTGCTCCATTGACTGCCAAAGGATCACAACAATATCGCGCACTCACCGTTGCCGAGCTCACACAACAAATGTTCGATGCAAAGAATATGATGACTGCGTGCGATCCCAGACATGGACGTTATCTCACCGTTGCTTGCATCTTCAGAGGTAAGAACAACTACTACATCTTCTCCACTTGAACAGTTTATATAAATAAAAAATTCTTTTTACACAATTATTTATTAACAATTTAAATGGTGTGGAATTTTATCTTCATTGTAACTGCAACAAGCAAAATTATTCCGAAATTGTGCGTACTTAAGCAATTAATTCCAAATGACAAATTAAGGCAGTTTCGCTGATTAAAAATTTCTGTACGTTGCCTGTCTCCTTCTCGTTATTCTTTTAATTCTTCTCGTAATTCTTCTGTTCAATTTTTTTTTGCTGTTCCAACAGCAAATGAAAAATGTTAACTTATCGTCTTTTGTCTACGGATCCTTGTTAGCGCTTCGTTTTGTTAATTTGCTTACCGAAAGCCATTCCACAACAACAACAACAACAACAACAACAACAAGAGCAGTAAGGACAATAAGGACAACATAAGTCTACTAAAGTATTTAACTGCGTTTTGGTTTTTTGTTAAGTATTTCGACTCGCATAAAATTAAGGAAACGCTACATGCCCCGATGTGACATCAATTTTTTAAGCACTTAGGCTGACCCGAAACTTTACAACTTTTGACTTTGTTGACAATCGCAAAAAATAATGTGGTTTTCTTCACCAAAAACATTAACAATATCCGCACCAAAAAAAACAAAAAAAAACAAAAAAAATTGAAAAATAGTTTTTTAACAACGACACATAAACACCTCGTTTTTTACAACTCTCATGAGCTGCAAGGCTGAAATGTGCTCAAGTCAAAAGGACAATAACAAAAAAAAAAACAAACGAAAGGAAATAAAATAAAATTCAAAGCATAAAGAAACTTTGTCACTTTTTCATTCTTTTTGACAAAAAAAAAAACCAAAAAAAAAAAGCAGGACAAAATCCAAATAAAATGAAAAACCTACTTCAAAGCTAAAAAAGCTGAAAAACGCTCTTACAAATGCATGAGAAGTTAACTAAAATGGAATTTTACTTTGTTGACAACTAGGCAAGGTAAGGCCTATTCTATGGCCAAGTGCACTAAGGCAGGCACGTGTTGGAGGCAACAATTTCATTCTTAGCTATTGTGGCTAGAACTGCGAGCGAGCCTACTTACGAACGCAACTAAAAATGATTAATGGCGCGTACATAGAACATAGTCAAGGCACTGGCATCCGCCTGAAAAACGCATGAAAACGTTGTCGAATGCGTGAACGAGTTTCGCCCCCACACTACCTTTGCCAGTGTTGCCACCATTCCGTAGTTGTGCTTAAAATTCGAATTTGCTGCGTGACTTGAAAGCAAGTCACAAAATGGCGACACTAAATTACACAAATAGAAACAAAATAATTAATAATACAACTGAAATGAATGGGCTGAGTCGTCATCCTGTCACAATATTGCCAGCAAAACGAAACCGAATGATGTGGCAAAACTGTGCGGTTAAGGGAAAGTACAAGTTTTACTTAATGGAAGCGAGAAGCATTCATTCAGCATTCATTCACGAAAATGACAAATAAAATTGAGAATCGTGTTTAAATTCGATGACTTCCCGAAATAAGTGAGAGTTCATAACAACTACAAAATATTTATATTAACACTACCGGATATTTAAATAACACTTTAGCTATATAGTCCCCCCTATAACACGGGGATTTGTACAGTTCATAATTACCTTCACGTACCTTTGTACGTGTGTATACGAGGGTATACGGGAATACCCCGATGACGCGATTTCCTATAACGCGGAACCAATGTACCGCGTTATAGCGGGGATAACAGTATATATATAGAAATAAGCACTAACCAAGAAAACACAGGAAATATTCGATTCTTTAAATATATGCATATATATAGTATATATATAGATGTCAGAATGCATGCTTATTTTAGTAAAGGCGTATGTCTTAATGTTAATTATTAAATCACGACGTTGGCAAGACTGCACAACAATCGTCTTCTTCCACACACACTTCTTTTCCAACTGTTTCGCTTACGTTAAAACTGGCTACCGCTTGTCATCCCCATAATGATGCCAACTGTTACAGATTTATATAAATATACAAATTGAAGATGGTCAAATTTGTAATGTAATTATTACAGCTCATGCTTTTACAATTTTTATTATAGTAGAGCAAATTATAATTGAAGATTTGCAGACTGATTGTAGGCGCCCGAAATATAGCTCTTTCACCAATAAATAATATATGATACTGATTATTAACTTCTTTATTTGTGCTTCTTCTTATAAAAAAATACATATATGTCGGTACCGATGCCAAGCAAGTATGTTTGGATGTGGTCTTTACTCGCAGGTAACGCTGGTTACCTGCTGTTGCTTATCTTTTTACTCACAAATAGAGGAGGCTTTCGCGCTGAATAAAGAAATGTACATGCAGGATAAGTATTTCTGGTAATATGAATAAAGGAGGCGTCAGATATACATTCTATGGTTGTGGAGAGATGATAACGAATATGTCATATACATATACTCCATTAATGCGAAAAGATAAAAGTCACTTGGTATCAGATCTGCGGAGTACGGCACCTACAGAAGAATTACATCCAAGCAATTTCAGTTTGTCTTTAACTTCTTCGACTGTATGAGGTAGCGGATTGTTATATAAAAAAATTACTTCCATGTCTTCTGGTTGATTCCGGTCGTCATTTGATCAATGCGTTATTTATATTTTTTGAATTCATTCATTCATAAAATTATTTGTGAGGAATATCCTTGAACATTAATGGTTTCGTCGGGCGTCAAAATTTCATAATACACAATAACACATCAATCTCACTGTGCACAAAAATAACAATCGGTTCGTGTGAGACCCATTTACCCACTTTTTTGATCTTCCCCATTGCTCGTAAACGTAAAGCCTCTGCATTTCCAATTAAAATAAATACCAAAACTTTTCAGCATTTGTAATAGTACCCAATGTGTATAAGTGATCATCGAAGTCATCAGAAACAAAGGTTAAGTTGGAATGGCGGCCTTATATCCAACGTTTACTTAGGCTCAAATAATCACAGATTGGCATTTGTACGTATGTACGTGAAAATTAGAGCAACGCCGAAAAGCACGACTGAACCATTAGGTGAAGGTGAATCAAACTGACAGTTCAATAAATTTGTCTATGTCCCTACATTTGCAGGATGATAACTAAGTTAAGTCGGCAATAAAAGGAGCCCGAAAATTTTAGATCTTTTTCTAGCTAAGGATGAACACTGACACATAGAGTGGAGGAATGTTTCCTTATGATCCTCGGAGCCATAACCTCGACAATAGTCATTATTAGGTAGACCCAGTTTTATAGCATATCTTCCTATTACGCAGTGACCCGTCAGCACCAATATCATAGTACTGAAGAGGTTACGCTTTAGTTAAAGCAACTGACTGGTGCGTTTTTTGTCTAGTGTCCAGGAACCCCTGTGAGTTGGATCAGAAATAATGGTTGTGTTAAAAGTTTTTTGTTATTTGAAATTTTACACCTATTTTTCGCGCAAAATGAACATCAGTACTAGGCTTAAGAAGCATTCGATCATTATACTTCTATCAGTCACTTCAACCAATTTACATACAAAATTGGTGACTTCGTGAAACTTTTTTGTGAATATGCTTATAGCAATTTCTTTTTATTTAAAATTAATATTATAACTTAAGAGACTTTCTCTCTTAATTATTATGTACGCATATTCCTTGTTAGTGCTTTCCTTACTTAGCATTCTTAATTCACAACTAGTTCATTTGCGATTCACTTTTTAAAATAATTTTCATTTGAAGTTGCCAAGGGTATTTTTATTTTGACTGATGACTCCATGCAAACTGAAGCGCAGGGAAGAGAATGAAAAAAAAACTAATTGTAAAGCGTCCCTGTGACCTGGGGGACTTTTGCTTATGACTTTAGATCCAACTAATCATGTCGAAGTTAACTTAAAAATTAAAGTCGTCTTACTTTGACGTTCTTGCTCTGGAGGCAGAAGGCGTTCATATGCAGCGACGTGTCGTAAGAGCGAAGCTACAGCTTGACAGCAACAGTTGCCGAATAATTAATCAAAATATTTTATATGAAAACGTGCAATAAAATTAAAAAAGCAATTTTAGCTGCCGTTTGAGACTTTGTATATCTTCAGCTGTGCCTCTTCCGCTCAAGCAACGCACATTGCGTGATTGCCGAAAAATTGGAAAATGCGTCCCAAACGTATAACACCTCACACCGTACGAATTGTGTGAAGCTGTTGCGTCAGGTGGTTGCTTCAATTGGAGGCTTGCACAGAATCCGTTTAAGCTTCTCTGTATTTTGGGCTTAAGGGACTGCTTACAACTTCAAGTACTTGACGCGTTTATACCGCCTTGTAAATCCAGTGGATTTCTTTTTTTAATTTAATATTGATAAGGGAGCAGCTATTTGTATTACTTACTTTAGCATTTAAATAATTAATGATATGCTTTCTCTAAAATATTTTTGTGAGTCTCAGCGCGGGCTGGAAGAAATTCCCCTAGGATTTTAATTTACACTAAATCTACACTTTTTTCAGTGATGCTTGAAATTATAATTTTAATAATTGCTTAAATAAGAATAATTATATATATTTTTAATAAAATAATGCATTGATATATTCAATAATATCAAACATATATCGATTACATGTATTATCCTCTCCTTCTATTCAAATATGGTATATTCCTACTAGTCTCAGTTGCGACGATAAAATCACATTCTCATTTTATGCATTTTTCATTAAAGGTCCAATGTCAATGAAGGAAGTGGACACTCAAATGTTTAATATACAAAACAAGAACAGTAGTTACTTCGTGGAGTGGATACCGAATAACGTGAAAGTTGCCGTTTGTGATATTCCACCACGTGGTTTAAAAATGTCAGCCACTTTTATTGGTAATACGACCGCCATTCAGGAAATCTTTAAACGCATATCAGAGCAATTCACAGCTATGTTCAGACGTAAGGCTTTCCTTCACTGGTACACGGGCGAGGGTATGGATGAAATGGAATTCACTGAGGCTGAATCAAATATGAATGATTTGATATCCGAGTATCAACAGTATCAAGTAAGTGTATTTTCACTGTTTGCTAACATTTGCTGTATGGAGTCCAGTTGTATCGAAATTAAAACAAAAAAATCCTTTTTTTGCAGGAGGCATCCGCAGATGATGATGTCGAATTTGATGAAGAGCAAGAGGAGCACGATGCTTATGAAAATGAGGCTATACAAAACGGCATGTAAAGTGTCAAAACTGTAAAAGTGCAAATTTAGTTGATGGATTTCATTAACTTAAAATAATTCAGAAATTCTTATGTGCAAATTCAGAAATAATTTTTAAAAATATTTTAAAATAAAAAAGTTTTGTTTTATACATAAAAAAATAATAATTTTGATTTATATAAAACAAATATTTTGTAAACGACGCATAACACATGTCCAAGGGCGTAGAAACAGACTCATTTAAAGGGATCTTCTAATTAAGAATTTAATTAAAAACTTTTAATTGTGTAAAATCGATTAGCCGGGGAAATTGAGTTTTGATCCCCAAAACCTTCTTTGTATACCCATTCTCAATATCGTTCTTTTTTCAGTGTGAACGATAAAATTCAAAATGATATTGTTGAAGTAGCTATGAAAGACAAGAATCCAGTGCTACTGAAGGGTACAGAAATCATCGCAGAAAAATAACTATGAAAACCAAGACTCCAATGCTTTAGAAAATACATTACGAGAATTATCAGCTCTGCTATTATTTTTGATTGACTTAGACTTTGATTCTATTACACATTTTTGTTTGGTTGAGGTAGTTTCCAAAAGGCACACCACCGATAATAAATTTTATTTTAGTCATCATAGTAATACACCTACATCTCCGTACACCATTAATACGAAGACGTTACTTGAATATTTATGAGACAGAAAATTACAAAATCTCCTCTACTCCAAAAACAATTTGCGATGATCTTTTTACATAAAGAATCTGTTTTCCGTAATTCCCTACAAATCAGCTATGATAACGCGATATTTTCTAAAAATTCCAGATTTCAGGTAATTTATTTTCAAATAGACTAATTAGTTAACCTCGGTCTACTCTTACTAAAATTTAAACTAAAATCGTTTTCAAGACTTTATCACTCGTCACTCGTAGTATAGCGACTTTATCTATTCGCACTTCAATCTCATAAATGCTACAGCTAGCAGCCAGACGGTGTTAAAAATTCACATTAAAAAGACTATATCTCGATGTATATAATTTAAATAAGTCTTTCAAAACCCAAAACTTTTTTCGGACTCAATGTGTTTTACAAGGGCTGGACAAATATAAATGCGTTTTACATGAACTAGTTCTCACATCATCACAGAAAATAAAACGGATAAAGTTTCCATTTAAAGACTGGTCGGTCGCTCTAATGCACAGACCCAGAAGATCCACGGGTTGTCAGTTGAAAAATCTTGGTCTAAATTGTTAATCATTTATATTTTTTTTGGAGATAGAAAAAGTAATAGTTACTAGTTATTAGTTACTAATAGTTTCTTATAACAGATGCGTGTAGAAGATTAAATGGCATTTTAATATAATATAATAAATTGTTAAAAAAAAAATATATATATACAATATTAGAATCAATAATGATTACCTTTTAAAATTATTAAATTAAGCATCCCAATTATACATCGGAATTTTAACTAAGTTTAATATGGTTCTACAGTCTCTGGTATTTAGTAATTAGATTGCAAATTCGAGATTTTGTTTATGCTTTGATATACAATAGGAAATAGATTAATTTTAGAATAACGCTTCGAATTTTGTAACATTGCAACGCCACCTACAGCAAAGCAATGCATGTAGGCAAAACTGCTAGAAATTATATCCTTTAATCAAGAGCTTTTCACCTAAAGTCCTAAATAACAAAGATCGTAAATTCACAGACCGTATTCTATAAGAAAAAAAATTTTAATGAACAAATATTTATTTATTTGTAAACACTAAAATTAATTTAAAAATTAACTAAGAATAAGGACCTGGACTATTAGGTCCGTCATCCTCCTCTGAACAAATATTTTTTTAAATAACACTCTCATATTTGGAAAAAGAAGTTCAATTCGATGGAACGGCAAATATATACACTACATACTTTATATATATATAGCATATATATACATGTAATGCTGCCAAGGCGGTTATTTACAATATTCTAACAAGAAGATAAATAATTAAAAGGTTGGAGAAGAACCTTTCACTATGCTCTATATCAAATTTTCGCAATCGGCGATCCGTTTCACAAAATTTCCACAAATTAACTGTAGCAATAATATTAGATATGTCTATACGCAACCACGCCTAAACAGTATTATCTTCGAGAGCATATTTTCTAAAAACGTCCGGTCTTCTCCTAAGAAACCGCTTTTCTTCTGAATATGAAAGATGTGCTCTTATTAATTTTTGGCTCTGTCCAATCAAAATATCAAAATGGCCCAGGTTAGATTCAATATCCCTACCTGTTTCTTAATCCATACTCTTTCCCATTTCCACATTAATCACCCTATTCCACCCTATTGTACACTGTATTGTCAGCAATACACTTTCAGGTCAGGCTTTAGTAACAACAACAACCGACCCTGTCGAAAAGCAGAAACTGTTCAATAAGATACTCTGGTCTTGAATTAACGAATATAACATCTACATGTACAGTAAGTCCGCCAAGCATGCAATACGTCTATTTCCTTATAAAGCTTCCGCATCTGGTATTTATTTTCATAAAGAAAGAAAGAATAAAAACACAAATTATGACACATAAATATGAAAGAATTAAAACAAATTTCACAGTGCAATTAAATTAAATTAATCAAATTATTTTAATTTATTTCAATAATTCAATTAAACAATTGACCTTATCTAATTTATAGAGGATAATTGAGTAACACATCTTGACGTGCAAGTTCAAGCAACATAGGATCATCGAAGAATTTATTAATAGACACATCTTCTGAAAGCCCCTTGCGTCGCCTCGTTTTAATCATGAATTCTCTAGCCAAATGTGACGCCTGTTGTGGCTCTAATGGACGTATAATAATTGATTTATCCAAAGGATCGCCTGGTACGATTTGCCAATGATGAAATACGGATAAGCAAAATGCTTGACCTTGTGTATGTGTACGTAAATCGGTTTCGAAACCAAATGAATCTATTGCTGGTATAAAAGCTTTAATGGTATATAATGGTGAACCAGAAACAGGCGCATCTTGTGTTACGTGACCTCTACAATAAAAAGTACACCAATCAATAAACAAAAAAAAATATGTACAACTAATTTTAAATATTACCTTCTTCTGGCCAATACTGTGTAAACTGCGGATACACAATCAGCTGGTGCTTGCACTTCTACAAAGAGGTAAGGTTCCATTAGTCTTGGTGTTGCCATAAGAAAAGCTGAGTATGCGACACGACGTGCAGTGGGAATAACTTGACCACCACCACGATGAAGTGCTTCGTTAGCTATAACAGCATCCAAAATTTTAAATTTGACATTACGTATTGGTTCTTCACATAATGGACCTTCACGTGTGCCCCACTGAAAACCTTGTACAATTGAATCTTTGACAGATGTCAATAAATTTTTATCAACTTCTGATGGAAGTGTGTCGTCTACTAAAATATTTGGACCATTCGAATCGGGACCAAATGCCCAAATAGAACGCGCTGCCAATAAATCCCAATCGTAATTGACTTGAAAAAATTCACCTATGCGTTTTTTATTCCAGTTTATAGAAACCACCTCATTTTCAATATCCTCGGCTAAACCTTTTTCCAGAGGTTCAGATATCATAGTGATTTTATTTCTTTTATTGGGTGTTTCTGCAAAACATTTCAACGAACTTGTTTCAACCACTGTTTCACAAAACGCAACTACTGGATCAGCCACTTTGATATCGATCTCGGAATACATTTTTCTTAAATCGTGCATGACACAATCCAAATAAAGTTCGCCAGTGCCCAAAATGACATGTTCACCTGATTCTTCTACACGTGTGGATAATAAAGGATATGATTTATTGACTTTACGTAAACCATCTAACATTTTTGGTAACTCTGAAGGATTAACAGGTTCCACAGCTATTTTGATAATACTTTGTGTGTTAAATTTAAGTGGCCTAAATATGTGTAAGTCCTCTGGAGCATTAACTGCAACAATGCTTGATGTCTTCACAATACACTGATCTATGCCTTCTATTAACACCCAGTTACCAGCCGGTACACGATTAAGTTCAACCTTGTAACGAGCTTCATAAACCCATAATCTACCAACTTGCAAAATACGTGAGTCCTCTTCATCTTGTAACGTATAATTTTCCCCCAGGACTCTGACTTCTTGCCCTGCATGTAAAGTTCCAGAAATAACTCGTGCCATCACCTAAAAATATAAATTAATAAAAAAGAACACTATTTTCCAATTATGAATACTTACTTGGAAAAATGTACAATCATCAGTCGGGTACATTTTCGCACTATGGACCATTAAAGTACCATTTGCATTGCACTGCACCATGTCTTTATAAATTTCACCTTCTTTTGGGCCAGTATATATATGATCTACTTTACGTTTAGCGTTGTCTAATGGTGAGCGAATATGTTGAACGCACATGTCTACAAAACCACTAAAGTCACTGATGAATCGATTACACACTAACCTCAGCAGAGGACGTATATTTGATTTCATTTCTTCTTTGGTTATGCGCACATTTAGTTCAGCTAGTGTGTCCGCTAAACTGGAGTCCACATCGCCGACGACTTGTGCAATAAGTTTGTACATCGGTTCTAGTATGAATTCAACAAAACTACGTTGAGCTGAGTTATGTGGGGGTTTTTTAGTGAACTTGCGGCTAAAATATAAATAGGAAATTCTGTATAATTTTGAAGTAGAGGATTTGTTTAAATATTTACGATTTATTGTGGAAATACATGTCACCCCACAGACGTTTGGCAAACTCAATATAGTTAACTCCTTCGTAGGTGTCTGCATAAAGTTTAGCAAAAGACTTTAAAGTAAAACAAAAACCGTAAAGTGAACTTGCAAAGCAAACATTTCCCAGTACCGGTGAAACGATAAGGCCATCTTCAGAATTGCCATACGTACTGAAAAATAGTAGATGTAAATTAATAACAAAATATATTGGAAACTGATTAAATGAAACATAACATAATAATCAAAAATATCCAAAACATAACAAATACCTAAGTAAGGAATTTACTTCATCTACAATATGCTTTAATTTAAAGTAAGCATCCTGAGGTGGGAGTTTCAACTCCAGTATTAGTCGATCAATCTGAAAATCGAATAGTGTGAGTAAAACAATAACTTAGGAATGACTTAGTTGTTATATACCTTATTGATACAAATTGTAATAGCCATTTTTTCCTGCACAGCATGCTTTAATAATCTTTCAGTATTTAACATGACTCCCTCTGCTGCATCAATAAACACTACCACACCGTCACACATACGCATAGCCGCAGTAACTTCATCAGAGAAGTTGACATGACCTATTTAATACAAAAACTTTAATAATTTTCATTTTATGATATTTTTATATTTTATACCAGGAGTATCAAACACATTGACCAAAAAACTTTTCTGTTTCACGTCTTGTAGTACTAACGTCACAGGCGTGGCCTTAATGCTGCAACCACGCTCCTGTTCAGTGAATAAAGTATCCGTATAGCGCAATGTGCGTTCTTCAGTATTTTCAAATTGAGGATGAGTTTGGCGTATAAGACAATCGACGAATGTTGTTTTACCATGATGCAGATGACCTATTAAAGCAACATTTCGTATGAGTGGTGCAGTATCCATAAGGTCTGCCATAAATTCCATATCATATGTAGTATCAGGCAGCTCTTGCTCTTTAATTTGAAATTTAAGTTTCTTAATAGGTTCAATGAGAGGTTTATCAAGTGGTTGTGCATCCTCTTCTTGCACAATAGTTTCAACATCTGGTCCGTAAACTTCCATTGCAGTCGGATAGTAACGTTTATCTTCATGTAGAACGACTGCAGTTACCTCTTTATCTTCATCGTCAACATGTTCTTCTTCATCATCCATCACTTCATCCTAATAATTTTATGTTAATACGTGTAATAACTATTTAATTTGTACAAATATATTGAATACTCACATCTTGATCATCCTGAGTGTCTTGTTGTCCATAAATGCTTTGTTCGTCATCATCGCTATCTAAGTCCGGTCCGATATAATTACCAAACTCATCATATAAATCTGAATCCATTTTTCTCTTATTTTATTATTTTATCAAAGTAAATACCAAAGTTTTGTTTTGCATAAACAAATGCGATTACTCCGCAAGGAATGTGTATAAAACGCGGACTGCATGTGTAGAGTTGCCATTATTATAATATAAGTAAAATTTATTATAAGTAATAAAATATTTATGTATAAAAAAATAGTTAATATACCAGCATATATTATCCAATTTTTATTCATATATTTAGTAAATACCGATCAAAGAAATGAATTAGTTTTGTGTTAATTGCTCATTAGAACGTGTTTACATATTTAAGACGTATATATTGGCAACTCTGTGAAATGTCAAATGCGATGCCGGCCGGTTTAGGGTATGTTCAATGCATGTATTATTAGAAACATTTTCCAAAATATATTAGCTCTATATATACTCTAATTACTAAAGAAACAAGATTTCAGTGATAATCTTTATATACAAAATTATGTTAAAATCAAATTAACATACCTTGTGACATAACTAATATTTACAAAACTTTTGGAAGGAATAGACTTATATATTAATATTGTAAATTACTATTTTTTATTTATAGAGCGTCAGCTTTATTTTGAATTGAATAAAACAAACAAAAAATTTTGCTAAAAAATGCAAATACTTTCCATTTAAAAAATATAACAAAAAAAATAAATTTTTTGTAGAAATTTCATTTCAAATTAAGCATATGAATACATTACAATATTATAGCAGACAATTTGACTTAAAATTGTTGCCATAATAAAAATAGATTTAAATAAAAGAAGATTTTATTATGGTACATAAATATGTAAGTAATGAAAAGCATTTTTACCATATAGCCTATAATATGCTATATTTACTCGCATAGAGCCTGCGCGAGTTCGAGTGAATTGATGGGAAATTGAGGGAAATAGTAAATTATGTCTGTATGACAGCAAATGTTAATATATACAAGCATTTCGAGTAAGGTAAATTAGATAAAAATTAGGTAAATTAGGTGTTAGCTTTTATTATATATTTTTAGCAAAAGTGAAACACGGTCCGATGTATTTTTAACATGTTCTTTACTTCGCTTTATTAACTATACTAAAAATGAATAATGAATAATAATTACAAAAGGAATATAGAATAATGACAGGCCAGAGTTGCCAGGCAATTAATATTTAAAAAGTACTTTACATAACAACACCCCCTCTTAAAGTGCTTTTATTATGTATAAAATATGACTTTAATATTTCATTCCTAATTTCCGTAAGCAATTAACATGCTTTTCTGTAGTGAGTCCTTTGGTAAGGACGTCTGCGGGCATTTCTTCTGTTGGCATATATTTGATTTTAACAGTGCCGTCGTTAACCTTGCTGCGAATAAAGTGATAACGAATATCAATGTGCTTTGTCCGTGGATGATACCTGAAGCTTTCCGTTAATTTTTGAGCGCTTTGATTATCATTAAAGATTTCAATTGTCTTACTTGTAATGCCAACATCATCAAGGATTGCCTTTAGATATAACGCTTCTTTTGTGGCCTCAGATATGGCCATATATTCTGATTCAGTGCTTGAAAGCGCTACTGTACGTTGCTTTCGAGCTTCCCAACATATCGCTGCTCCTGATATAATGAACGCATACCCTGAATATGAACGTCTATCGTTTAAGTCAGCGTCAACCAGACCATACAATTCTTCATTGTTTTTCTCATACAATAGACCATAGTTGCTTGTACCTTTAAGGTATCTTAGAATTCGTTTTGCTGCTTTCCAATGTTCCACGTTATAATTTGAATTGAACTGGCTAAGAAAGTTTACAGCAAACGCAATATCAGGTCGAGTTGTAACAGCTAAGTACATTAATGCTCCTATCAAGCTTTGATAGGGATACATCTTCATAACACCTTCATCAATTTTTGTTGGTTTCGTTAACTTAATGTTCAATTCTATGGGAGTCTTCACTGGTTTACAGTCTTTCATATTGAACTTTTCAATGATGCTTTTTGCATACTTCTCTTGTGAAAGGAAAACTTGATGCTTGCTTAAATTTTGATGAAACTCGATGCCAAGACAATTACTTACTATTCCCAAATCCTTCATTTCGAAATCATTCGCAAGTGCAGCCTTTATTTCTTTTATACGAAACTTATTATTGGACGCTATTAGTAAATCATCTACATATATTGTCATCAAAACAATGTCGTTACCTTCACGCTTAGTGAATACACAAGGATCCTGTTGTACTGCACTTAGACCCATATTCTGTAGTTTCTTTGTCAATTTCATGTACCATGATAGCCCAGACTGACGGAGTCCATAAAGAGCTTTCTTTAATAAACATACAGGTGACTTACTTGATTTAATCGCCTTTAACCAATGCTGCGCTGTTTCTTTAACTTTTCCACACAATATTGTTGAAGTTTTTCCCACTGGTTTTGATGAAACAACTTTGTTCAGGAATGGTATAAGATAATCGGGAATTTCCATGAAGACACTCTCTTCGAGCTCTCCATTTAGGTATGCTGTAATGACATCCATCTGATGGATCTCCAAATCCATTTTTGCTGCCAGTGCCGCAAGTAGTCTTATAGATGTTGAACGAGCGACTGGAGAAAACGTATCATGAAAGTCTTCACCTGGTCGTTGTGCAAAACCCTTCGCTACTAATCGTACTTTCTGTTTTCCGTCATCTTTAGTTCGAAGCACGAATCTATTCCCAATAACTCTTCGTGATTTCGGTCTTTCGACCACTTCCCATGTTTTATTCTTTAGTTGTGCCACCATTTCGTCTTCTAGCGCTTTTGACCAGGAATTTGTTTCATCGCTTTCAAGTGCCTCCAAAATCGTTACTGGAGTTTGATATGTAGTGAGAAACGCCATTTCACAATCTTCAAAAACGTTGTTGTCAGGTTCATCATCTGAATGGTTTTTATCAGCAATTTTTCTTACTGAACTTGTATTTTCGTCTTCGTTGGATGATTCTTCACCATTCCGATTTGACGTGTAATATTCTTTTCGAGGCCTACCGCGTGAATTTGTGCGAATAAGTCTCGGACGACCTCTTCTACGAATGGAGTTTTCTTCTCGCGTATCAGTATTTTCTACAATTTTCGGATTAACCGACGGTTTCTGATTTTCAGAATTTTCGAACGCAATATCGATATAATCATTTGTTTGGCAGTCGTTTTCATTGTTAATATAAATGTTTTCGTATTTATTATGATAGATATTTTTGTTTACGAACACGACATCACGGCTTATTGTTATATTTCGTTTTGTAGGTGACCACAGCCGATAGGCTTTCGCTTCGTTTGAATATCCAACAAACATGTAAGGTTCTGACTTAGAATCGAATTTATCTCTAGTCTTATCCTTTTTTAGGACATATGCTTTAGATCCAAATACTTGAAAATGTACAATAGTTGGCATTTTACCAGTCCACAACTTGTGCGGTACTACACCGTTCAATGCTTTTGTAGGACACCTATTCCGAATATAGCACGCTGTATTTATGGCCTCTGCCCAAAAATTTGGCGGAACTTCAGCTTGTTTCATCATGCAACGGGCCATTTCAACTAGAATTCTGTTTTTACGTTCAGCAATACCATTTTGCTCCGGCGTATATGGAGCAGTTAAGCGTCTTTGTATACCAAATTTCCTCAAGAATAAATTAAATTCAGAATTAACGTATTCTCTACCATTGTCTGATTGTAAAGCCTTAATTCGTTTACCCGTAAATGTTTCTACTGCTCTTTTGTATTGCTTAAATACATTTAATACATCGGATTTTTGTTTTATAAAATATACATGACAATAGCGTGATTTGTCATCAATAAATGTTACGAAATATTTTGCATCCGAATTTGATGCTGTTCTCATTGGTCCGCACACATCACTATGCACGATCTCTAATAAATCACTTGTTCTAGTTTCTTTACTCTTAGGAAATGATTTTTGTGTTTGTTTTTCACTAATACAAATTTCGCAAGTCGGAAGTTTTTGTTTAGGATTCAATTTTAATCCGTGTACTAGGTTATTACTAGCCAATTTTTTAAGATCGTTTTCATTTATGTGGCCCATTTTCTGGTGCCACTTTTCAATGTCACATTTTTCTTCAGCAACTTGTGCAAAATGATTTTTATTTTCAACAATAAAAAGATTTCCACATCTTTTCGCTCGAGTTATAACCTTCTGATATTTGTCCAATACGATTGCATCTGAAGGGCGAAAATGCACTTCATATCCGCTGTCCACTATTTTTGATACAGAAAGTAGACTTGTACGCAAGTCCTCGACATATAGAACTTCTTTAAGATCAATGTTATTATCACGACCGTATACGTCTACAGTTATTTTCATTTTACCGACGCCGTTTATATTTGTTGTGTTGTCGTTTGCTAAGTTAAGCACTTTATTCGATTTTTGAAAGTCTGTAAAATATTCACGGTTTGCACTTAAATGGGCAGTACATCCACTATCTAGGCACCAATAATTTTCTTTTATTGAGCTAATAAATGCATCTTCAACATGATAGCTAAAATTATTGTTTACAGATTTTTTCGAATTTTTCAATTGCGTGTTATTTTCAGCTTTTGCTTTATTTTTACATTCACGTGCAAAATGTCCGATTTTGCCACAATTAAAACATTGTTTGTTTCGTTTAGAATCACTGTATCGTTTGTTTTGTTTTGCGTTTCGGCTTTTATTTCGATTTATGTATAGAGAGTTTTCATCACTATGTCTGTCTTCTTTTGTCCTTTGCGATTCAGCTTCTTCTAATATTTTCACTCGAAGTATGTCTGGCTTTGGCAGCTCGTCGCGCGTTTCTAACGCGCACCGGAAAGTATTAAAAGAGTCGGGTAGGCTATATAGGAGCAGTATGGCCAGAAGCTCATCCCCGATGGTGACGTCAATTTCCTTTAATTTTGCCACGGCTTCAAAAAAATCGTTGAGGTGCTCTCTAACCTTTTCACCCTCCTTCATGCGCGAAAGTGCAACCTTTTTCAGCAACGTCGCCTTGCGCGCAGGCCCTTTTGATGAATATGTGGCTTGTAGTTTCATCCACATTTCGTTTGAATTTGTGCATTCTGCAATTAATCTTAATTCTGATGCACTTACTGATAACATTATATCAGCACACGCTTTCTGATCAAAGCTGATCCATTTTGCAGCCGCTTCGCCCGTTGGACACGACGCAGTACCTTCGACATATGACCATAAATCGTTTTTTATGAGAATAGCTTTCATTTGTAATTTCCATGTATCGTAGTTTTCCGCGTTAAGCGGTTCAACTCGAATCACCGTTCCCGACATTTTTATACACGTATTAAATCTACTTTTTATGTGCACGTGCTTTTTACTTCGCAGTGGAAGCGTGCTGGGCCCATAACCTATTATATATTTTTAGCAAAAGTGAAACACGGTCCGATGTATTTTTAACATGTTCTTTACTTCGCTTTATTAACTATACTAAAAATGAATAATGAATAATAATTACAAAAGGAATATAGAATAATGACAGGCCAGAGTTGCCAGGCAATTAATATTTAAAAAAGTACTTTACATAACAACAGCTTTGTTAAAATTTTATAAGATGTTTAATAAATAAATAATAAAAAAATTTGAAAACTTTTGACCAAAAATACTAAATAAGTGCAATAAAAAAATAAATAAATATTTATATAAGTACAGTGCAAAAAATCCCTAGCAACTTCCAATTTACTTCACCTCAATTCACTCGAACTCACACACGTCCATGATCTGAAAACAAACTTTTGTATTTAGTCTTGTAGTTTGGTGGAAAATTATAATATTATATAATTGATCGAACATATATCATATAAAAAACTCCATAAAAATATTTTTAGAAATTTAAGTACAATTGAAACTTAATTTTATTATTTGTTTCATTTCTTCTTTGGTTGCATTTACGGTACAATTTTTATCAAATCTAGGTTGCGTTAAGTTCGATAACATGTACAGCTGTTTAAAAATAATTATCGAAATGTAAAAACAATTCAATTAACTTTAAAATTGCACATACTTATTTTAATATTATTTCAGAATTATTATTACATTATAAATTAAACTTAATTCTTGAAGATTTTATTTATGAAATTTAAGTATGTAATATAAAATATAACCATTATTATCAACATTTATCTATTGCTTATTTAAAAATATGGGATAATTTACTCTAAATCCGAATAAAAAAGCATATTAATCAATAAATAAGCATTTTTAATGATTAAAGTTTTATTGAATTGGAAAATAAAATAAACATTGCGAGGAAAGATGATATACCCCTCATATATCAAGTCAAATACAGAACCTTTCAATAAAGATGACGTAGCCACAGTGTTTGCTACATCTTCAGTAATGGGAAACAATATCTACAAGTAAGTATTTGGATTTGCGTGCCCTGCTTCCAGAAAGTATTTCAAATTCATGGCCTCGCTGTGTTAAACAATTTAAACTAGGGTTCCCATAAATTTAGATCAAAACTATATACATATATATCATATATGTATAAGCTACAAAATCATCACAACAACAAAACAGTGGCATAAAATTGGACGGAGTGATAACATATTGCCATTGCAGTAGTTTACTTATACATCCCAACTATTCTCGAAATAAAGTAATGAAATAACACTACTTAGTTCTATATAGCTGAAACAAACGAAATACAATATAGTCCATATTATGTTCTACTATCAAAAAGCTAGTCAAGATATTATCTAAGAAATGTTATTTGTTTTTCTGTAAAAACAAGTACATCGACGATGTAAGACAAATATATATCTTGCCTGCTTATCAAACTAATTTAGAGAGAACTTTATTTTTGAAATAATTAAATATATTTTGCATATACATTAAATCAACTTCGTACATTTATTACAAATAGAAACATTAAAATTTACATTATTTGTAAATAGTGACCATATACATATATTAATCGTGACCTCAAATAATATCTTCCGATGCATTGAATTTAACCGAATTCTAAATAATCTACAATTAGCTTTGATTTTTATAATATTTTTCAAGCTGTTGTAAATAAAAGATATAGGAAGTTTGTCAGCTGTCGAATATCATATAGTTTATATATAGTTTTGATGATGAAACTTATCGACCTATCTGTCTCCTCACCTATTTTTCTGTCTATTTGAATGTTTTTTACCTAATATATTGTCACGGAATATATAACTAGTTCATAAGAAACTGTTGTATTTTGAAATACAAAAAAGGACACTGGTTTACTGTTGCCCAAATAATTAGAGATCGTATAGTTCTTCCCATATGAAAAGTGCAACCTTGTCCATTTTAATACTTATCTGTCTGCTTGTTTGTAGAACATATTTTAGAGAAGTGTTCCCTGGGAATTTATAGTGTAAGAGAGTGTTTAAAGTTAGAATACAAAACGGAAGTAGTTTATACTTAGCAGTTGCCTAGTTTAAAGATATCAGATATTCTATAGCCCAAATATGTTTTTGTCAGCATATAATGTGAATTGGCTTTTAGATATATTAAATAAAATCAAGAATTCTGAGAATCAATAAAAAATCCGGTATACTTTGCAGTTTCCAAACTTATGAGAGATCTGTCAGCTTACCTGCCTAGTTGTCGTTTACTTGTCGGATATAATATAAGAAAAGCGTTCCCTGGGATTTCGTAAAAAACTGTACTAAATTATATTAGATTAAGACGTTTACGATCCAGGTACATATAATCCCTAGGTATAGGAAGAATAATATTCTTTACAAATTTGCTCTGCTTTATAAACTTAATTATCTTTAAGTACTTACTGATTAACAATATTTTATACCTTTTTTTTTGGGAGAAACTTCAGCAAGAGAGGTTATATGACTGTAAATATTATCTGACCTAGTGTCAAGTCATGTTAATGCCCTTATAAACACTTATGTTAATTGATTGCAAAACCAGATTTTTATTTACTTTTTCAATGGACTTTTTAGTTGAATTATTCCCGGAATTTTTTTTTAAAAATAGATATTGCTATACTGAAAATCTATATATTTTTTTTAAATATAACTTTTCTTTGTCTTTTTTTTTTATCTTAATCCGTCATATTTTGATTGATAATAAGGTTAATTAACAAAAAATGATGCTAATAATTTGAAATTAATTTTAATTATATTCTTCGTAGTCGTATTGTGAATCCCCGTTTTAAAACGTAAACATTAAAAAATTAAAATAAAAAAATCATCAAAATTCTGATCGAACTGAGTACAGCAGGTAAATAAATTTTAATTAACGAATTGAGAAAATCAGTAACTCAGAAATTCGTTTGAGAAGAATCGCAAATGAAGTTTCCTATTGTATGATATTTAATCTCAAGTTATGCCATTTTGGCAACTTAAGTGTTTTAGCCAGAATTTTTATTTCAAACATCTTAAAAACTTGCATTACAAAATTCGCCAAATCATTTAGTATTGATATTTTTTTGAAACTACAAAAAAAGATAAATACTCTTGCATTCCATGGTACCATTTCGAATATCAATAAATTGATTTCATTTATTCTCTGATCGTCGTCAATACCTGATCCGACTATTTGCAAAGATATTTTTATTATATAGCATATGGTTTTTGGATGGAATATTAGATAAAGTTTAATTGAAAAAATTTATAAATCGGTACCGATTTCTAGATTTTAAAATTTTTGAATCTAAATTAAGAGATATTTATTGATTAATTAAATATTTATACTAATATAGATATTTATTGATTTAATCTAGTAATGATGACCTTACATGTGGAATTGTAAATTGTTCTGTTGCTCTCCTTTTAATTAAAGTTCTAAAGACCTTTATAGTTCCTGTTTAAAATAGATTAGTTGATATCGAATTTGGAAAAAGTAAAATTATAACCACAAATAATTTCCGCCAAGTATCTCTTTTTATGCGGACCAGCAAAAAAGTGGTTTTCCAAATGAAATAAGTACAGGTCAATATCTCTTTTTATATTATTCACTAAAAAGAAATTGATTAAACCAGTAATCTGTTTAAAATTTTTGCATATTTTCCTCTACCAGGGTATTAGGGATGGTTCGCAAATAGTATTATGATATATTACTTTAAGCATACTGTTAGTAGAACCAGCTTTGTATATTCTCTTTTGGTTACACTCATATCTGTATATTTATTGTGGTAGAATAAATATATATTATCATTATATATTAAATTTAACACCATATAACAAATACAGCATTACAAAAAGCTTTAAAGTGACGTGGATTCAATTTTGGTCTTAGTATTCTGATTAGTTGGTTGCGATCACAGGTCGTCAGATATCTTTCTACTTTCCAAGATAAGCGATTATTCACTATTTTTTTACCACAACCCTCGCAAACTACCTAAAGAGATAGGTACTATATCTTTCATGTTGATATTTTGTCCCTACCAACGAACAGTCCGATATACATTCTATAAATCTCTTACTTCTGGAAGCCAAAGCTCAGTAGTCACAGAGAATAGACTTAGACTTTTGGAAAGACAGTTGTTATGTAAAATTAAATATGTCGGAGATATAAGCAATGAATTTTTATGGAAAAATGGTTACTTTCCAATTATACTAAAATTTTACACAGTTTATTTTTTTTAGTAAAATGAATCGATCTGTACTAAAAATTTAGTACATGTATTTATTTTTAAAATTTTTATATACTCGTATAACATGAATAACATTAATTATTCTATATTATAGATGAAATCCCCGCCATAATTACTGATGTATGTAGCTCAACATTGCGTGCAAACTAGTACGCATTTGAACCCCTAGACCGTCCCGCATCCAAAATTTCTAATTGGCTTGGGTTAGTTAAACTTGAAAACAAAAGAATTTGTTTGTTTTGGTTATCTTTCCTCTTCCTCATATTTCGTTTCATTTTAGCTCTCTATTTTAATTTCTTTTTTTCTTTCACTATAAATTAAGTCGATACTTAATATTCAAGTAGAAAAAAAATAATCTTGTGACTTGGGTAGTCCATATGCAAAGACTTGGGTGAGTATGTATGTTTCTTCTTGACGTAACGCGTCTTTAAATTTTTTATTGAATAATTTTATCAATTCTCTTCAAATGAGTCAATATACGCGATTTTTTTATTTATTCAACCGAAGCCAAAGTCAAATTTTTATTTTGACTGAAGCGAAAGTAATCAGTCGCCGCCAGAGCAGTTCGAATTTGAACTTAAACCAAGCAGTAGTCTTAGCCTTAAAAGCGGGAAATTTCACACTTGATTGTTTAATTGACTAATATTCTCGGTTTACGATATGCAAATAAATATAAAATTTGTTATTCTAATTTTATTTATGTTTTTTTGTGAAGTGAATTTACAGTTTAATTTCTTCAATAATAACGGCTTCAATAACGGTTTTCGAGCACTAGATCCAAGCCGCATACAATTTCCTACAGAATTTAACAGACCATTTCCTACAGAGTTTAATAGGCCACCAGTGCCACCTTGGGCATTTGGATTCGGTAATCGTTTTCCGCCTCATCCACAGCCTTGGTTGCGACCACATCGCCCACATAAAGAACGATATCGTGATTTTGCAATAGTCTTTCGTGACCTTGACAATAAAACCCGTTCAGATAAAGAATTCGAACAGGATATGAATGATGACTTCAATGGCAGATCTGTGGTAGCACCCGGACAATATCCTCACATGGTAATTATCAACGTAATTAATATTAATGAAAAGTAATTAGTGTCCAATTAATTTTTAAATGAAGTCACTGTACTTAAAATTGTGAACCGGTTTTTGAGTACCCACAGTTCATTCATTTATATTGAATTTGTTGTCTTTTTGTTTTTACGATAAATTTGACCTATTGGTGTAGTTTTTCAAGTAATCGCTTTGGCTTGAAATTTTGTTTTTCTATAAAATTTTTAAGTGACATTATTAATAATAAAAATATAGTTTTATTAAAAAATAATATTTTTTAAAAATTGATTTTATCGAACCATAAGTATATCTGCTTTAAAAATAATTACTGTGAGATTAATAGCAAATACCTAGTAATATTATTTCGTAGAGGACTATAATAAAGGACTATTATATGAAATCACATCCTAGAATTTATTTCGAAAAACAAGAAAATCCAATGTGTGGTGTAATTTATCCATTTATGTTAACACACAAAGTCTTGAAAGTGTATGGACCTTGTTTTTAACTTAGTCACCTTTTCCTTTCAATTTTTGCAATTGATTTCAAATGTTAATCTATGGATCAACGGTCCATAGGTGTTTACTTGAAATCTATCTAAATTTTACAGTGGAATTTTATTTTAATAAGATTTTAAATCGCCACAACTAAGAGCTGTCATAATGTAGAATCTAAAGATAACTTACACGGTTTTAGGAAGAATTAAGTTTGAAGACTCACGATAATTATATACCAAGTTAGTTTTGGAAAGGACAATGGTGCACTATAATAATGGTATAACAATGGTGCACTACAGCGCATATATTCTTCTATGACTGGAGGGAGTCAAAAATCTAACAATACCCCTAGTTGCTAGATACCAAACTATGTTCAGCTAAAGACTGAATAAAGGTATTACATTTGCTTTCTGGAAATCTCACTGCACGAGTACTTAAATAGAATATGTAGTAGTCTTACTCACATAATCTGTGTGATTTAATGATATTTTACTGAAACATGTTTACTTAATAATCCAATGAGATCTATTTAAACTGAGAATTCCTGAATTTGCTCTTTTTATTTTTAACCCAAAGCCTTTTTAAATAGTTAATATATAATATTTTAACACTGTGATAATTAACTCAAGATTATTCCATTCAATTTCTATTCTTACTTCAATTTATTGAGCAAATCTGGATTAGATAAATCTGTTAATTCATGAAGGCAGTACAGTATATCACAGAACTAAATCCTCTAACTTAATAATAGTACTAATAATATTCTTTGCAGGCGGCACTTGGATTTCGTTCGAATAATTTTGGAGTTGAATTCAAGTGTGGAGGTAGTCTAATAAGCGAAATGTTTGTTTTAACTGCTGCGCATTGTTGTAATTTGAATGGGTAATCATTTTTTATTCAATACTATATATAATTTGTTCTAAAAATATTAATAAAAAAAATATTTCAGTCAAGTACCAACTGTCGTGAAATTAGGTGACATCAATCTTAAGGAACGTGAATTCGATAATGAACCCCAACGTCGTAGAATTGTCGATATAATCTTACATCCATTTTATAACTCTTCATATTATTATAATGATATTGCTCTTCTACAACTTAGTCGACCTATTGAGTAAGTATTAATTTCCATCCTTTGAGTTAATATTAAGAAAATTTGATTTCTCCAAGATTTTTGTAAATAATTGAAATTAGTTTAACAATTTAGATACACGCACTTCGTGCGTCCTATTCGATTATGGGCTGGTGAAAATATACCATACGATAAGGTGTTCACAATGGGTTATGGTTCGACAAGTTTTGCTCAGGCACCTACAAATATTCTAACAGAATTAAATTTAACAATTGTCGCTCTGAATGAATGCAATCGGACAATGCCACCGGATACTGGAGCACCTTTTGGCATAGTTGAAAGTCAAGTTTGTGCTAAGGATTTTGAAAGAAATCGTGATACATGTCAAGTTAGTTATAGTATATGTTTATAAAATTATGAAACATGCTATATGTATATTAATATATCCTCAGGGTGATTCTGGTGGTCCATTACAATTGAACTTGGAGCGAAGAAGAAGACCTGGTCGTTTTCGTTATTATTTGGTTGGTATAACGTCATATGGCGCCTTTTGCCGTAGTCAATATCCTGGGATTTATACAAGAGTATCATTTTATATTGATTGGATAGCTTCAATTGTTTGGCCAGGTTATTTTGAAAATTTCAAATGAATTATATTATTAATTAAATCAAATAAAAATAAAATTAGTAGAAAGTTTTTTAGTTTATTTTAATATTGCATATTACAGAATTTGAATGGAAATCTCTTTAAAATAGAATATATCTTTAATTTCAAGAATTTGTATTAAAGAGTTTGAATGGAAGTTTCTTTCAAATAAAATATTGATTGATTGATTATATTGATTGCTTGATCAGAATTCTTTTAAAAATTTTAAATGAATTATTATTATTTCTTTATTGTATGAATAATTATTATTTATTTATTAATTAAAATAGTTTAAAATATTTTAAAATGTTTTAAGAAAATTCAAATACAGACTTCAAATATAGTTCAAATGCAGAGATCATAGTAATTTTGTATATGAAATGGATCAAAGTCTACTCTAAAGGTAGAAAATAAAAATGTCATTATCACTTTAACATAAAATATTCTCATTAAAGGTATATTAAGTTAATTTTTATAAATGTTTTATAAATAAAACAAGGACATTTTCTTACAAATATGGAAGTTAATTTACCTAAACATAAATAATATTATAAGTAAGGTTCCCAGAATCATTCATAAATTTAAATCTCTAACGCTAATGAGATTGCATCTATTTCGTTAATATATTTGTGTCTTTATTTGAAGTACATTTTGAATAATCTTTCTAGTTTTTACCTGAGCCTGCTCTGTCCACTTTTCAGGTATGAAATTTAAAAAAAGTAGATAATTTATTTGAAAGGATTTCTCGACAACTTAGTCTAATTTTTGTCGAGTTAAAGAGCACAATGAAGTTTTTACCGGTGTCTATAATATTCGCGTTTATTTTTATACCTCAAGTGTACTGTGCATTATTTTCTAGATATTTATACAGTGATACATTGAAATGCAAAACACGAAATTTAAAATTGTCATTAAGAAATATACTTAATACTCCTGATATAAATCAACAGAATTTAAATGTTGTTATAAAATCATCTGAGGATTTTATGAGAATTGTTAAAGAAAAAATTAAAAACTATAAACCTTATCCATATAAAGTATATAAACCCTACACTCCATTTATTAAAAATGAAAATCATGAACCCTGTGATAATAATAATGAAATAGAACAAAGCAAAACGTCTACTATAAATCCGAAAGATATTGATAAAAAAGTTAGTACAACGGAAATAAATATAGTTGTAACTACACCAGAAACTTTTACAACAACAACAAAGAGCTACGATTTGAATATGAGCACATCCACAGTTCAATCTACATCGAACAAATATGATATTGAATCCACAACTGATATTGAAAATATGTTTAGTACTTCCACTACTAATTATGACTTAAACGAAACTACTACCGAAAGTAAAATTGATATTACAACAACGTCGGATAATTGGAAATATTATACTACAGATTACAGTTCAACATCATCACCAGAATTAACAAAAACGGAAAGTAGCAGTGAACAATCAATTTCTACAGAATTACCAGAAATTACAACTGAAGCTGCCTTGCATGAGAACTATGAAACTACAACCAATAATGATGTAACAACTGAATCATACTTAAATTATAACAGCACTCAAGATAGTACTTCATCATCACTTATGGAAACAACAACATGGTCATCAAACGGAATAGCTACGTCATCATCATTACCTGAAACGACTGAAAACTGTATAACAGAAAATATATCATCAGAAACAGCAACCACAGAAACTATAACAACAGATTTCGCTAGTAATGCTGATATGACATATAGTACAACTGATGAATCATACATTACAGAAGCAACTAGTGGAACCGAATTCACAACTACCGGGTCTTCAGATGAACTTTTAACGCCAACAGAAACCATTATTACGTTTTCCACAACAGAAATGAATCAACTTACAACTGCTGCAGAAACTACAACAACGAGGCCTACAACAATAGATTATACCACCGCAGATATTAATAATTTCAATGACACAACAACAGAACTTACAAGTGAAACTACAGAATCTACACTAAGTCAAATTTATACAACAAATACTTATTTCTCAGAAACTACAACATATGCAACTAGTACTGAAAAATATACTGACTTTCCGCAGTCATTAAACACACAAGACTATTTCACTGAAGATCCATCATTAAGAACTACAACAAGCTTTGATAAAATTAGTGAAATTACTGAAGACGTTTATAACGAATCAAGCGTATTCCCTACCCAAACTTCGTCTACTATCATTTTTGAGACGACAAGTGATAATGAAAACTGGTTATTTACTGAACCTACAACAGTTTATTTGGATTTATTGAGTACATCTACGGTATATGAACAGTATGAACCAACTACAACATTTTATTCTACAACAGAAGTTAACTTTTCTGATTTATATTATAATAATACCACAACTTTTGATAGTAGTACAACTGAATCCCTTATAGAAGCAACATCTGAATTTTTCGACACTACTCAAAATACTTCAACTAAATATGATGACCATGATGGAAGTACAGAATCATTATTAACAACTGAACCGCTTCCAGAGACAACATCTATATCTTATGATACTAATCAAGATACTTTCACGGAATCTAAAGATCTTGATGAGAGTACAGAAGCATATTCCACAACAGAATCGAATTACTCTGATTTATACTACAATAATACTACAGCTATTGATAAGATTTCAACCGTACCACTAATAGAGACAACATCCGTATCCTATGAAACAAATCAAGGTTCTTCCACGGAAACTGAAAACCATGATAGAAGTACAGAAACATATTCCACAACAGAATCGAATTATTCTGATTTATATTTCAATAATACTACAGCTATTGATAACATTTCCACTGAATCATTTATAGAGACAACATCCGTATCCTATGAAACAAATCAAGGTTCTTCCACGGAAACTGAAAACCATGATAGAAGTACAAAAACATATTCCACAACAGAATCGAATTATTCTGATTTATACTACAATAATACTACAGCTATTGATAACATTTCCACTGAATCACTTATAGAGACAACATCCGTATCCTATGAAACAGATCAAGGTTCTTCCACGGAATCTGAAAACCATGATGGGAGTACCGAAACATATTCCACAACAGAATCGAATTACTCTGATTTATACTACAATAATACTACAGCTATTGATAACATTTCCACTGAACCACTAATAGAGACAACATCTGAACCGCACGAAACTAATCAAGGTTCTTCCACGAAATCTGGAGACTTTGTTGGAAGTACTGACTCATATTCAACAACAGAAACGAATTACTCTGATTTTTACTATGATAATACTACAGCTATTAATAACATTTCCACTGAACCACTAATAGAGACAACATCTGTATCCTATGAAACAGATCAAGGTTCTTCCACGGAATCTGAAAACCATGATGGGAGTACCGAAACATATTCCACAACAGAATCGAATTACTCTGATTTATACTACAATAATACTACAGCTATTGATAACATTTCCACTGAACCACTAATAGAGACAACATCTGAACCGCACGAAACTAATCAAGGTTCTTCCACGGAATCTGGAGACTTTGTTGGAAGTACAGACTCATATTCAACAACAGAAACGAATTACTCTGATTTTTACTATGATAATACTACAGCTATTAATAACATTTCCACTGAACCACTAATAGAGACAACATCCGTATCCTACGAAACAAATCAAGGTTCTTCCACGGAATCTGGAGACTTTGTTGGAAGTACAGACTTATATTCAACAACAGAAACAAATTACTCTGATTTATACTTCAATAATACTACAACTATTGATAACATTTCCACTGAACCACTTATAGAGACAACATCCGTATCCTACGAAACAAATCAAGGTTCTTCCACGGAATCTGGAGACTTTGTTGGAAGTACTGACTCATATTCAACAACAGAATCGAATTATTCTGATTTATACTTCAATAATACTACAGCTATTGATAATATTTCCACTGAACCACTAATAGAGACAACATCCGTATCCTACGAAACAAATCAAGGTTCTTCCACGGAATGTGGAGACTTTGTTGGAAGTACAGACTCATATTCAACAACAGAAACGAATTACTCTGATTTATACTACAATAATACTACAACTATTGATGACATTTCCACTGAACCACTTACAGAGACAACATCCGTATCCTACGAAACAAATCAAGGTTCTTCCACGGAATCTGGAGACTTTGTTGGAAGTACAGAATCATATTCAACAACAGAAACGAATTACTCTGATTTATACTTCAATAATACTACAACTATTGATAACATTTCCAAAGAACCACTAATAGAGACAACATCTGAACCCCAAGAAACTAATCAAGGTTCTTTCATGGAATCAGAAAACCGTGATGGAAGTATAGACTCATATTCAACAACAGAAACGAATTACTCTGATTTTTACTATGATAATACTACATCTATTGATAATATTTCCACAGAATCACATGTAGAGACAACATCTGCATCCTACGAAACAAATCAAGGTTCTTCCACGGAATCTGAAGACTTTGTTGGAAGTGTAGACTCATATTCAACAACAGAAACGAATTACTCTGATTTTTACTATGATAATACTACATCTATTGATAATATTTCCACTGAACCACATGTAGAGACAACATCTGTATCTAATGACATTAATGAAGACACTTCCATGATATCTGAAGATCTTAATGAAAGTACGGAATCATTGTCGACAACAGAAACGAATTACAGTGAATTATACTATAATAATACGACAACTGTTGATAGCACTTCACCTGAAACGCTTTTGGGGACAATATCTAAATCTTCCTACACTAATCAAGATCCTTTCACTGAATCGGAAGTTTATGATGGAAGTACAGAATCATATTCAACAACCATAGTGCCCAAATCTGATGAATCTAAACTTAATTTTACCAATATTGATATAAGAAATAACTTATCTATGGATCAAGAAGTTGTTGTTGAAAATGCAACGACACAACCGTCAAAAGACCCCAAAATAACTCCAAAAAAAATCACGTATGATACAGATGTCATGCCTACATTTGGAGAATATTACTAATAAATATATAAAAGAATATCAGTTTAATTCATTTATTAGTGTAATTAAGTGTTAAGATGTATTATGTGTTATATATCAACAAGCTAATACGTATTTCGTATTAACGAAATTTTATATATAAAATATTGTTTAATATAATCAATAAACTTAGAATTCTATATTGTATTTTTATATTAATATTTTTCAGCACAAAGTGAATTTTCTATGTAAGTTATTAATTATCCTAATATTATTGTATTATAAAAATATATATGATATAATAAGCCATAATAAAATTATAAATAATGTTATGATAAGCTAATTACCTGAAGTATTGTTTAATAATATGAGGCTTTAATATAAAATATAAAGTTAAAATATTTTAATATCTTTAATTGAATTTAGGCAGCCAAGAATAACAGTTTTGGAATTTCTTCTTAAAACTGGATTTTTTGATAGATCCCTTCTGATACGAAACGTGAGGCTTACATCTAACCGAAGATATTAAAGAGTTTTTTATACACAATTTTAAACTGTGACACTACAACATATTCTACTCACATCAGTTCATATAATCAATTAAATGGAAAACATTAAGTTAAATTGCATCTAAATGGTTATATCAGTATATTAAGAATAATATCAAATTATTACCACAATTGAAAATAATAACTATAATACCATAATAACATAAAATTATTTCAGTTAGGTATCAGTGATAGAATTGGTGTAATAAAGGGCTTCAGTCAATCCAATGCCTCACATATAATAATTTTGCGAGTTATCATATTATCAACAATGGATAGTGAAGGTATCAATATAGAATTTTGAGGGCTTGAGCGCCTATAAGTCCACGCAAGCGGCAAGCGAAACGGATTAATAAAGCCTAAATGTACATATTAATGAAAATTACGATTCATCCACGATAAAAAAAGCTACTAATAGGTTCATTTTACACTTAAATAAAGATGGACATTCAGCGATAAAATTTTGTATTATACTTCTTATATCGTATTTTGTCGAACATAAATACGCACATTTATATATTTTTAATAATAAAACAGAAATTAATAACTGATCCTTAAAAGAATTTATAAATTTGGCGCGAAATAACGGAGCATTAGATTAAGCAAGTAACGACTTAGACATTTTATTTACCATGATTTGAAATTTCTCACCATTTTGTTTCTTAAGATCGACATAGTCTAAACTGGACAAGAAACGCACCAGTCAGCTGATTCCATTAAAGCGTAACCTACTCAGCACTGATATTGCAGTGCTGAGTAACAAATAAAGTGGGTATAATGTGTCACATATTCAAAACAAAATTAAATAAAAAAGGAAATCTCGAAAAATATGTTGCAAGTTTATTAAAATGGTTTTAAAAAGTCACACATATGGATGCATTTTTGAAATTCTGGTTCTGGAATTACGCCATTAACAGACTTATCATTATCAATGGTAATGGAAAAATCATCGCACGAATACAATCGACGAGTACTAAGGGATGATGACGAAAGTAACAAAGGGTCAATAATGAAGGTTGATAGAAGCAGATAGAGAAAACAGAAAGTTTTTTCTACCAAAAGAAAAGGCATCTCAAGCGCGATTCTAGGAAATACTAACAGTAGAAAATAAATATAGATAAAGAACAATCGAAAAGGTCACTAAGGCTAATGAATATTACAAATATTTCATTTTGTAATATAGCCAAGAATGAAATCAATCGATTGGGTGATTGATTCTGGTGCTTCCTGTCACGTCGCAAGTAATTATAGAGCTTTTTGCTAGAATCAATGAAGAAAATACGGATTTTATTGTTGCTAATGTTGAAAAATCAAAAGGTATATGTAAAATTGGTATGATCAGTAATCTACATCGTATTTTTAGACATAAATAAAGAATATGCTTAAATAGAATTGTTAATTTGTCTTACGTTAAAATCCACTCATTATTTTCCACTCAAATTTTTTGGAAATAGGTAATGGATGTCAAGGCCGGCGTAAATAAGACAACACAGCAAATTAGATGATATTTGTCGGTTATGATCAAAATTTGAAAGCAAACAGATGTTTTGATCTACAATGGTAAACAGTTACTATTAGGCGTGAACTCCTTTCATTGATCCAGACCCCTTCTGCGGGGGTAACTACATCTACCCGAACATTGGAGAGCCCAAACAGGAATGCGACAGTCAAAAAGATTTATTGATCCTGAATACATCAAAGTTGATGCTATCATCAACCTTAGCAGAAACGATATCAAAATCTACACTGAACTTCTTACAGGACACTGTAGACTTAATTACCACATGAAGATTATAGGTGTGGTAGAAAGTGACTCCTGTCGACTCTGTCATGAGGAGAAGGAAACATCATAACATGTTCTATGCAACTGCACAGCGGTGGCAAGACGTAGACTCGATTACCTTCGAAGTGGGATACTAGTCCCAAGTGAAAAAGGTAAAATTAAGCCCACAGCAATTACAAGATTTATAAATAGTCTAAAATTGTCCTAGTTGGGCCATTAGGCGCACAATAGATCTTTTAGGTCGGGGTGCACAAATAGCCTATTTTAAATAATAAATTAGGCGTGATGTGAGATTTGTTGATAATAGTAAAATATTGCAAGAAAACTACACCAGTCACAGTAGAATTAAATGGTGGATATGACAAATGTGCATACAACTGCAGAAGAGCAGTGCACTTAGAGACTGTTGATGGCGAATCAGAAATAGAATACGATCTGTTATAAACTCATAATTACACCGCCATAGTACCAGAAAGGGTATCACAACTATTTACAAAAGGTAAATTACCCTATAGATTAATTCAGGAGAGTAAAGAGAAAATTGTCGAACCCAAAAATTTGAGGGAAACTTTATCTAGCACAGAAATGTTTTAATAGATTACGCCAATGAAAGTCCGTATAGTCTGTGTATAAACAATGGTTATCAGTGGTATCATACTATCATACTGAGCACAAGAAGGCTTTGTGCACAAGGAACCCATTCCAACCTAACCTGACTTGTAATTTTATTTCATAAATGTTTGTCTTAAATCCTTATTTCAAATGTTAACCTTTTATATTAAATGACAAATAAAATTATTAAAAAGAAAAATATGAATAAATTATTTATTATGTTTAATTTTAATAAATTTATTTTATTTCAAAATAATTGTGCATCAAAACTTATAATAGTATTTTTAAAACAGATCACCAAATTTTGCATTTTTCTTTTTTCTTATTCATTTTACTACCCAGTGGACACTCATAAACCTTAGAGAAATCTTCCATATTACTTAGTGTACCCAAAACTCTATATTTGTCCATAGGGTGTTCATCGATAAGTTCTTTCCAATAGTGTTCTTCTTTATACGACGCACAATACAATTGTGCAAACCCTACAAAGAACAGTTGTTCTGGTGATAAATTTAGACCAGGCATGTCTTCATCTTTAAATGTTGTCATCAGATCACCTTCCTTATTCAATTCCTTCATATATTTGCGGTACGAATTAAGTGCGGCACGAAGTCCACCATTATCTGCTATATTTTCATCTTTGGTTAGATATCCGTTAATTGTGCGATTTATTTCTGGTATCAAGTAGTCATTAAAATGTTGTTCATAACAATCTGTTCGATTATTGAATACATCTTCAGTTTCCTCCGTCCACCAATATCGTTGGTCACCATTGCTATCGAACAGTGCGCCGACTGTGTCAAAACCGTGTGTAAACTCATGACCCACAAGATAACCTAATGTACCGAATTTCAAAGAATTCGGCCAGGATTTATGATAAACTGGCGGATGTAAGATACCAGCCATTATATATATGGAGTTGTCGATATGATAGTAAAAAGCATTGACTTGCATTCCTATTAAAGCTTCAAGAGGCTTTGTTTCATTATGAATAAGTTCATTATGTAGACCAAGATATCGGTTCATAAATGTTCTAAATTTCTTTAAGTTTATATTGTTTTGCTCGTAGCTATCTGGATCAAAAGTTAGGTTATTTATTTCGCGAATGAGACGTTCAGACATAATCGGATCATCGAAATTTCCAATTCGTGATTGTATTGTGGATTCTTTTAATAAAGCTTCAGTGCGTGTTTTTTTATCCAACCATTCTGCTTGTTCTATTTGTTGGCGTACACTTTTCTGTATCTCCTGAACCAATGTGGTAACTTCAGTTTTTATTCGCTCATTAAAATATTTCTGAAAATTAATACTCGTGATTTTCATTATCTGTTATAGGATTATTTTATAACATGGTAAAACCAGTGTCACTTACCTTTAAATAAAGCTTATCGATCAAAAATCGAAAAGTGTACTGTGTATCCATGAGACAGTACTCCATTTGGAATTCCTTCTTTTTAAGTTTAGCGTCCATTCCGTATAAAAATTTGAGTGCTAAATAATTCGCTACAGCTTCTTTGTGTTCATTACAGACGGTGTTCAACTTATTATAAAGAGAAGAAAAATGATAGTAGTTTGTAACGGATTCATTGAATTTTTGACCCATCCAAGCTATATCAATGTAATCTCGCCAAAATGGTTCTATATCTACTTTTGCATACTCTTCAAATTCATCCATTGCTTTTAATATTCCTCGCCAAAAATCAAAGATTTCATCTACGATTTGTGATATCTTCCCCTCTTCTACTCCATATACATTTAAGTAATGTCGAATACTCTTTTCATTACTTATATAACTTTGCGTCTTATTTGAAGCTATATTATCACTGTCAACTATATAATCAAAACCTAAATCTGGTAATTCAATAGTAGGTGTAAATGGATACAATTTAGGAATATCTTCCTTAATTAATCCACTGACATCGTAGTTGGTAAGATGAGCACTCATATTAAACCAACTAAAGTTGTCTGATTGCCATGTTTCATCAATAGCTGGAAAACCCCCAATCGATTTGATAACATCAATATATACTTGCGACATTGTTGTTGGGTATAAATCTGCTGATAAGCACGACTGATAAAACTGCTGGGCTAGCTTAAAC